TTTTGTGTTTAAGATGAGAGGGAAAAGTTTTAAAAGGGACGAACGAGCAATGTTTTCACGCAGAGGGTGGTGCACGTATGGAATGAGCTACCAGAGGAAGTTGTGGGGTCAGGTACAAATAGAACATTTAAAAGGCATCTGGATGGGTGTATGAATAGGAAGGTTTAGAGGGATATGGGCCAAGTGATTACAAATGGGAGTGGATTTATCTAGGGTATCTGATCGGCTTGGACAAGTTAGACTGAAGGGTCTGTTTCCACGCTGTACATTTCTGTGATTCTGACTCATTTCGAAAGTGTTCAAAATTAAGTAATGTTGCTCGTAAGCAAATCTGACCTCAACTGCAACCAGTGTTGTAACCATTAACTGTAACCGTAACTGCTACCCTGACCAAAAAAATCACTGGTTCACTCCCTGAAATATCAAGTTGTCTGTTCTTGGTTGAACATTGCAATTGGCATCAATACCTTGAATCAATCAACTTTCTTTTTCCCAATATTTGTTAGAGAATACATGTTTGAATGTTGACTGAAACCAAAATGAAGCTCTTTCGTCTTGTACAGTCAAATACTTCACTGCTATACATTGTGTGCACTAATATGTGAATAATGGTTATAGTGTGCAGGGCACCCAGATGGTCAGGAGCTGTACCATCATGAGAGGTAATACTTGGAACAATAGAGCAAACAATTCGAAAAGAAGATGAATTAGTGTAACAATTTAACACATCTATATTATTGTGCATGTTCAAAATTAATACTCATAACTAGAATCAATACATTTTTCAATTTAGTTGGTGAGTAATTTGAGTTGTACTAGCGTAATTTCACACACATAGCTCACATGAGTTATATAAAATGAATCATTAGTTTTTTTCTGGCTGTGGTTCAGGTTACAACTGTGTCTGAGTTCTAAATGTAATATTTTTGCAGAAAGTTGGCCAGTTCCATTTTCCCTGCAGCTCACAGGTAATATTGGACTGTGTTTTGATATAATCAGGTGATTGTGAAGTTCATCTTTAAAGATGAATGAATCAGTATTTACATGTGAATATGTCATTGTCTTTATAATGTTTGCAAATGTTGGAATATTGAAAGTAACTAATAAAATGACATTGGATTTTTTTTACATTTAGAGAATTTTTTTTTACTGCAGCAACCTGGAGTGGGGATCACTTGTCCTTTCAATGATTTTATTTTTGCCGTATATTGGTGTAGCTCATCAAATAAGTTCAGTTAGAAATACTGGGTTGGGTAAAAGACACATGTCTTACTTTACCACAGGTTTGCTGCTTAGGTAATGGACCAGTTGCATCCTGCGCTGCAGAGTTTAGGCCGAGTGCATGTCCATGCTGATCGGAGTTGGGATTTTAAAAGAATATGTATGAATTAGTATTGATGTTTGAGTTTATGACTGTTGAAGTATAAGTTATTTTGTGAAATTACGTAGTTTATGAAGGCGGTGTTTTTTATAAGTTAGATAACACTGCTCAGAAACTTTGAAAATAGTGATTAGTTTGAAAATTCAACTTTTTTTAAAATAGCCACTAATCCCAATAAGTGAATGTTAGTTTAATATCAAGTGAAACTGTTTCAACTGAAATCTGATGAATTATTTATTTTGGCCTAATTAGTTTGAGACTGAGCAAGTATGTAAATAAATGCTGCTCTAATTGTATTCTTTCTTCTTGACCAAATACACAATATTACATTTGCAATGTTGTTATAGTTCAATATTACATACAAAGTAGATTCTGTATGGCTGCTAACTATTCAAAAAAGGAGGGAGGCAGGAAGAAGGAGACTACAGGACTCCAAACAACATTCAGATGGAATTCACCAGTTTTAAAATCTCCCTACCCTGGCCTCATCCCATGTCCAACCCTCCATCTCATCCCTGCTTCCTTGACCTGACACAACCTGTCCACCTTCTCTCCTACCTATCTGCCGCACCCATCCCGCTGACCAATCCCCACCACTCCCTACCTGCACTCACCTATCACCATCCCCCCTACCTTCCCCAGCCCCAACCCTCCTGTCTTTATTTATTTCCCAGCTCCCTTGCCCCTACCCATTTCTGAAGAAGGGTCCTGACCCGAAACGTCAACTTTCCTGTTCCTCTGATGCTGCCTGGCCTGCTGTGTTCCTCCAGCTCCATACTGTGTTGTCTCTGATTCCAGCATCTGCAGTTCTTGCTATCTCTGAAACTACAGGCCAGTTAGATTAACATCTGTCATAGGGAAAATATTACAAGTTATTGTTAAATATTTTATAACAGGGCACTTGGATAAGTTCAAGGTTAGCAAGAAGAGCAACACAGTTTTGCCAAAGGGAAAGGGAACCAGTGGTTGTATTCTACTTAGATTTCCAGAAAGCATTGGATTAGACACCACATTTGAGTGTTGTGAAAAATAGAAGCTGGAGGCTTTGGAGGTGACATATTAGTTTTGGAACAAGATTGGCTGTCTAACAGGTATTTTTCAGGCTGGTAGGATGCCATGTAAAGTATTCCACCCGGGTTAAAGCTAGGGCCTCAATTTATAACAATTTATATAAATGATTTAGACGAAGGGGCAGAAGATGTGGTTGCTATATTTGCCGATAACACCATAATAGGTAGGAAAGTGAGTTCTGAAAAGGGCATAAGGAGCCTACAAAGTGACATAGGTTAAGTGACTAGGCAAAGATATGGCATATGGAGTATAATGTGGAAAGTGTGAAATTTTCCCTTTGGGCAGAAACATCTAAATGGTGAGAGTCTCCGGTCTCTGAGATGTAGAGAGATCTAGGTCCTAGTGCATGAATTGCAGATGGTTATTGTGCGGGTACGGTAATTAGGAAAGTTAATTGAATGTCATGCTTTATTGCAAGGGAAAGTGAATGTAAGAATAGGGGATTATGCTTCAGTTATACAGGACATTCGTGGGACTGCATCTGGAGTACTGTGTAAACTATTGGTCACCTCACTTATTAAGGAGATTAATGCATTCGAAGAAGTTCAGAAAGGTTTACCAGACTAATATCTGGAATGGGTAGATTATCCTATGAGGAAGGGCGAGAGAGGCTAGGCCCATATCCTCTGGAGTTTAGTAGAGTCAGAGGTCTCTTAATTGAAACATTTACTTGAGGAGAATTGACTGGATACAGAATTGGCTTGAAGGTAGGTGGTAGAGAGTTGCTTTTCGGACTGCAAGCCTGTGACCAACAGTGTGCCACAAGAATTGGTGATGGGTCCACTGCTTTTTGTCATTTATGTAAATCACTTGGATGTGAACATAGGAGGTATGGTCAGTAAGTTTGCAGATGACACCAAAATAGGTGGTGTCATAGACAGTGAAAAAGATTATCTCAGAGTACAATGGGAAATAGATCAGGTGGTCCAATAGGCCGAGGAATGGCAGATGGAGTTTAATTTAGATAAATGTGAATTGTTGCATTTTAGTAAGGCAAACCAGAGTAGGAATTATACAGGTAATGTAGGGCCCTGGGGGATGTTACCAAACAGACACCTTGGGGTGCAGGTGGGTAGTTCCATGAAAGTGGAGTTGCAGTTAGACAGGGTGGTGAAGAAGGTGACTGGCATGTTTGCCTTCATAGGTCAGAACATTAAATATAGGAGTTGGGATGTCATTGATGTGGGTGTACAGTGCATTAGTGAGGCCTCTTTAAGAATACTGCATACAGGTTTGGTCCTCTTTCTATAGGAAAGATGTTGTTAAACTTGAGACGGTGCAAAAAAAATTTAAAGATGTTTCAGGGACTGGAAGGTTTGAGTTACAGAGAGAGGCTGAATAGGCTGGGGCTTTTTTTCCTGCCCTGTAGAAAGCTGAGGGGTGACCTTAGAGGTTTATAAAATCATGAGGGTTATGGTTGGAGTGAATAGTCAAGGCCCCTTTCCTAAGTTGGGGAATCCAAATTAGAGGGCATAGGTTTAAGGTGAGAGAGGAAAGATTAAAAAGGACCTGAGGGGTAACTTCTTCAAGCAGAGGGGAGTGTTTGTATGGAAAGAGCTTCCATAAGAAATGGTGGCAGGGGCTACAAAAGGCATCAGGATGGGCATATGAATAGGAGTTATGGGTCAAATGCTGGCAAATGAGACTGGGTCAGATTAGGGTGTTTGGTAAGCATGGACAAGTTGGACCGAAGGGTCTGTTTCTGTGCTGTGTGACTATGACCCTATGACTGGATGGATGTGGTAAAGATGTTTCCTTTGTGGGAGAATTTAGAACTAAGGGCCACCATTTTTGAAAAACAAAGTGAAGGGTCACCCATTTGAGACAGAGATTTGGGGCGGTGCGGTGGCTCAGTGGTTAGCAATGCTGCCTCACAGCGCCAGGGACCCGGGTTCAATTCCACCCTGTCTGTGTGGAGTTTGCACAATTTCCCTATGTCTGCGTGGGTTTCTGCCGGATTCTCCGGTTTCCTTCCACAGCCCAAAAATGTGCAGGATAGGTGAATTGGCCATGCTAAATTGCCCATAGTGTCTAGAGGTGTGTAAATTAAGTGGATTAGCCATGGGAAATGCAGGATAATAGGGAGGGAGTAGGGGGCGGGTCTGGGTGGGATGTTCTTTGGAGGGCCGCTGTGGACGTGTTCGGCTAATTGGTCAGAATCCCTACAGTGTGGAAACAATGAGATGAAAAAGCCTTTTTTTTTTCTCAAAGGGTTAAATCTTTGGCGTTCCCTTCCTCAGAAGGCATTCAATACAGAATCTTCAAATATTTTTAAGGCGAAGGTAGATAGGTTCTTTATTACCAAAGGGATGAAGAGTTTTCAAGGATTTGCAGAAATGTAAAATTGAGGTCAAAATCAGATCAGCCATGATCTTAGTAAATGGTGGAGGATCCTCGAAGGGCTGAGTGAGCAGCCCACTCTTGTTCCTTGTTTGTATGTTTGATGGTAACATTTTGATGCTAAACTGATGATGTTCACATGGAATTGTTTCCTACTCATGATTCCGTTCAAGCTTGCACCAATTCGGCATAGGTTGTATCAGTTACGATGGCCTGTTTCTTCCAGATCATTTCAGATCTCGAGTCCTGGAATGATGAGCTGTCTCAACAAATGAATGACTTTGACACTGAGGATTTGACCCTTGCTGAACAGAGGTTGCAGCACCATGCAGATAAAGCTCTAACCATGAACAACTTAACTTTTGATGTCATCCATCAGGGACAAGAGTTACTCCAGTATGTAAATGAAGTACAGGCCTCAGGTATGCTCCACTGAATGTGTTTCAGCTTTTAACTTGGGAACTGTTTAACTATAAAATATATAAAATGAGAAAAATGTGCACGATTGTGCCCACATGATGAAAGTTTTCAATTGGATAGTTGACCAAAGATCATTTTTGCAGGTTTGGAAGAGCTAAAATTTATAGCAGGTGAAAAGTGAGAAGAAGAGCAAGAGAGCTTTGGAATAGCTTAGTGGTAACAAAGGCATATGTAAGGTTTTCGACAGAAGTGCTGAAGAGGGGCCTGAGCCAACCGGCTTAATGTAAGTCTTTTGGTGGCAAAGAGGAAAAGGAGTCAGAAAGGATAACAGGATCATTAATGTTCAGGCTCAAAGGCACCAGAGAGAAAGGATGGCGTTGGCATCTCGGAAATAGAACTTCTTCATCGGAACCAAAAGATAGCTTTAAACTTCTGTTATTTATGGATCAGTACTAATTTTATTGAGTGGTAATTATAATACACGGAATTGCCAGACACAATCTCTATTAAGCAAGACTTTTTTTTTCCATTTTTGTAATTTGTTATAGTGTTTCTTTTGAGGGTTGCTATGAAAATATATGAAATGGAGTTTAGCAGCACGTAAAGAGCACATTGAAGTTCTAATCATTTTGGCAAAGGTTTGTATCATCCATCTGCTAAGGTGTCATTTTGTGCCTTGCTCCTTTTGTTAAAACCAGAGATTAATTTCTGTTGTATGGATTCAGAAGTAGACAGAAAGAATGGCACATGTCAACTCAACCATTCGAATATGGTCTCTGTGCTGCAATGGTTTTCTAGTTCTAGATTTTTACAAATGTGGTCAAATTTAGGTATTCTTGTTAAATCAGTACATGCTTATGGTTCATCTACTTAATAAAGAAAACAACAATGCCTATTTTAATTTGTCATGAATTCTTAGATTTATCATAGTTTACTGCATTGTGTGCTTTCCCACTGGCAGGATGGCCTGAAGAACTCCTCCTGTAGTAACCTTGCTACTAAAAGGCACAGCAAAGTGGCCCAGAGTGTCCATTCCTCAGGTTTTCTTGGAGAAAACTGTTTGTATTGTTGAGACAAGTAAATTGGCATAAATCGACAGTATAACTTATACCCAGATACAGTGGCTCAGTATATAGGAAGCTTTGTATGAATGGGCAGTTCTTAGGATTTGCAGTGAATACAATGTATCAAGAAATGCAGGTCCAGAAAAGACTGACCTGTTAGCCCTGAATTCTTTATATTATCTCTAAGATTGATAGTAAGTACTGCTGCTTCTTGACAGAATCATCGCATAATGGATAGTTGCTGTGATGAACCTGTCAACACTTCTTGCAGATGTCAGTCATACAGAACAGAAATAGACCCTTCAGTCCAACTAGTCCATGCCGACCGTAATCCCAAATTAAGTTAGTCCCGCCTGCCTGCATTCGGCCCCTATCCCTCAACCTTTCCCATTCACGTACTTATACAAATGTCTTTTAAACATTGTAACTGTACCCGCATCCACCACTTCCTCTGGAAGTTCATTCCACATGCTAACCACACCCTATCAAAAAAAAGTTATGCCTCATGCATTTTTAAAACTTTCTCCACTTAAAATTTTACCTCCTAACTTCAACTCCTCTATCCTAGGGAAAAGACACCTGCCATTCCCCTTATCTTATACCCCTTATGATTTTATAAACCTTTGTAAGGTCACTCCTTAACCTCCTACTCTCCAGTGGAAAAAGCCCCAGCCTCTGCTTATAAATCAAACCTTCCATTCCTGTGTTGACAAAAACCTTTGTAGTCTTTAGAATATGTGCACTTCCCCTTGATCAGATAATAATCGAGAAACGTAAATGATTATTACTGCAACCAAGTACGAGGACAGCACTTTTAGAAGAGATGTTTCGGAATGAACAAAATTTTCAAATAAATCATGTTCTGTCTTTGCTGTTACCCTTTAGGTGTTGAGTTAACCTGTGATAGAGATGTTGATATGGCAACCCGTGTTCAGGACCTGCTTGAATTTCTTCACGAGAAGCAACAGGAATTGGACCTCACTGCAGAGCAGCACCGCCGGCAATTGGAACAATGTGTGCAACTGAGGCATCTACAGGCTGAGGTCAAACAGGTTAGCATTCAGGGTGCTTTGCTTGATTATGACTAATCACCGTAATTTATTTTTGATGAAAATTCATACATGGGGAAATAGGAAATCTCACATTAGTAGCTTCTGCCTTGAAGTTCCATTATCAGTGTAGGGTAGAACTTGATTTTGTACACACCATGCATACCATACCTGGGAATGAATAATGCATAAGGCAGCCATCAATGGAAAAAGGATCCTTTCTGTTGGTTAGCAATAAAACACTCAATGCAAGAAAAATTCGGACTGCTCTATGTTCTTGATTGACCTTTTTATTCTTTCATGAGCTGCACTGGACATATGGGAGCACCAGCACATGCACATTCCCCTCCAAGTCTCAAACAGTCCTGACCTGGAACTGTATTGTCATTTCTTTTCTGTCGTTGTGTCTTAGCTTGGAGCTCACTCCCTAACACCACTGCAAGTGCACCACTGTAATAGTTTGAAGAGACAGTTTTTGAATACCATCTCAGAGGCAACAAAAGCTTGCCTTGCCAGCGATGCTCGCATTAAATAAAATAATTTTGTAAAAGATTGGGCTGAGGACATTATCCTGAGGAGTTCTTTTAGTAATGAGTAGTGTCCTAGGATGGAGGTGATTGGCCCACAGCCATCTTTCTTTTTCCTAGGTTATCCAAATAGTGAAGAGTTTTCCCTGATTCCCATTTACCTCAGTATTGCAAGACATACCTCTTCGATGCTACATTCAGTCAGATGCTACGTTGATATCATGTGCAGTCATACTCAATTTGTTTCTGGAATTTGACTCTTTTGTCCATTTTTGGACAAAGTTGTAATGAGGTTTATAATTAGAGTTCACCACGTTTTTCACTGCAGACATCTGAATGGTCTGAATGAAATTATTCCTTTCGTAAAACTGTGAACAGCTTTGAACATTCAACTCCAAAAATCTTTAGGAATTCAACTGGGACTCCCTGAACTGATTCTGTAAAAAGACCCTATCCAAGTTTTGTTACAATCCCTGATAAGACTCAGAATTTTGTAAACAGTTAATCAGGAATCAATAATGGTTTTCTTGACTATGCTGAAATTAGATGCATTTCGTCAAAGCTTTTTATCTTGCATTCATAGAATGATACAGTGTAGAAACAGGCTCTCCGGCCCAACATGTCCACACTGACCCTCTGAAGAGCATCCTACCCAGACCCATCCCTACCCCTTTCCCCTATAACCCACCTAATCTGCACACTCCTGAACACTGGGCAATTTAGCATGGCCAACCCACCTAACCTGCACACCTGTGGTCGGAAACCGGAGCACCCGGACGAAACCCAGGCAGACATGAGAAGAATGTGCAAACTCCACACGGACACCATCATGGGCCGAAGGGCCTGTACTGTTCTATGTTCTGTGTTCTATAGACAGTCGCCCAAGGCAAGAATTGAATCTTGGTCCTCAGCGCTGTGAGGCAGCAGTGCTAACCACTGATTCACTGTGCTGTGAACAGGCAAACTATGGTCAACAACACCATAAGCTGCACATTAAAGAGCGTACACAACCTATACAGGTCTCCTTACTGTTCTCAGCAGCTCACCCTGATGCAGCCATCGCTGCTAGTCACAAAAATTCTACAAAGCTTTGTTTTCTTCTTGAAAAATTTCGACTCTGTTTCTTCAAAGAGCTAGCCTGATTACAGGCTGTATACTACTTGGGTTCCTCATGTACAGCCTTCACTGAAAGGGCACATTATCCCAGATCTGTCATGCATGCTGTAAGGTCCAGCCTCCTTAGTTGTCTTTTTCAACTGAACTGACCTATTTCAGAGACTATGTTGCCTTATGTTAGCCATACCAAACTCCAGCACTTAAACATAGACGTAGAGCCACACTATGGCTAACAATTGCTTCTGAGCTACCCCAGTCACAGCGCTTAGTAGCATGAGGTTACCAGGGCTCCTCTGAGCTCCATGTCGCTCAGCAGTATGGAGCTTATATACCATTTCATCTGTTCTCGAATAATTCGTTACTAATTGCTGTTCACTGACCTTTGAACTGACTTGTAACTTCTAAACCCTCCCATCAGGGGTCCATTACTGGTCATAGGTAGAATCAATTGTATCAAACTATGGAGCAATCTGTGACTTAAATGTTAGGATACCCAATGGAGCATGATCGTTCTCCATAGGGGTTAGCTCACAGAAACAAAGACCTCAAAAAAATGAATGATTTCATTTCATTTGTGAGCTGATACAATTCCAATTTAATTTAAGAACATTTTTGTGCATACAGTTCAATGCGCCATGGAAATTAATCATGGCAAAGTAGGTTTGACATTTTGGGTTCAAAATACTGATCTAAATGTGGGAGCACAGTCTCAGGATAAGGTCTGATCATCTAGCTTTGAGATGGGGAGAATTTTTTGAAAAGAAGGTGTTGTGAATCTTTGTAGCCCTCTATCCTCGAGGGCTTTGCAGTCTCCATCATTCAATTCAATATATTGAAGTCTTGGATAGACAGATGTTTGATCCTAGAACATAGAACGATACAGCACAGTACAGGCTCTTCGGCCCATGATGTTGTGCCAACCTATTATCCTACTAAGATCAATCTACCCTGCATACCCTACATTGTACTATCCTCCATGTGCCTATCTAAGAGTCGCTTAAAAGTCCCTGAAGAATCTGACTCCACTACCACTGCCGGCAGCGCATTCCACACGCCCACCATTCTCTGTGTGAAGAACCTACCTCTGACATCTCCCTTATACCTTCCTCCAGTCACCTTAAAATTATGCCCCCTCGTAATAGTCATTTCTGCCCTGGGGGAAAAGTCTCTGACTACCCACTCTATCTATGCCTCTCATCATCTTGTACACCTCTATCAAGTCACCTCTCATCCTCCTTCGCTTCAATGAAAAGAGCCCGAGCTCCCTCAACCTTTCCTCATAAGACCCACCCTCCAGTCCAGGCAACATCCTGGTAAATCTCCTCTGCACCCTCTCTAAAGCTTCCACATCTTTCCTATAATGAGGTGACCAGAATTGAACACAATATTCCAAGTGTGGTCGAACCAGAGTTTTATAGAGCTGCAGCGTAACCTCACGGCTCTTAAACTCCATTCCACTGCCAATGAAAGCCAATACACCATACGCCTTCTTGACAACTGTATCAACTTGGGTCGCAATTTTGAGGGATCTATGGACGTGGACCCCAAGATCCCTCTGTTCCTCCACGCTGCCATTAACCCTGTATTCTGCATTCAAATTCGACCTTCCAAAATGAATCACTTCACACTTAGCTGAGTTGAATTCCATCTGCCACTTCCTTGCCCAGCTCTGTATCCTGTCAGTGTCCCGTTGCAACTTATAACAGCCCTCCACGCTATCCACAACTCCCCCAACCTTTGTGTCATCAGCAACCATACTAACCCACCTTTCCACTTCCTCATCCAAGTTATTTATAAATATCACAAAGAGCAGAGGTCCCAGAACAGATGCCTGCGGAACACCACTGGTCAGTCAGCCCCTGGCTGAATACTTTCCATCTACTACCACCCTCTGTCTTCTATTGGACAGCCAATTTTGTATCCAGACAGCCAAATTTCCCTGAATCCCATGCCTCCTTACTTTCTGAATGAGCTACCATGTGGAACCTTATCAAATGCCTTGCTAAAATCCATATACGCCACATCCACTTCTTCATCGATGTGTTTTGGCCCATCCTCAAAGAATTCAGTAAGGCTTGTGATGCATGACCTGCCCCTCTCAAAGCCATGCTGATTATTTTTAATCAAATTGTGCTTTTCCAAATAATCATAAATACTATCTCTCAGAATCCTCTTCAATAATTTGCCCACCAAAGAAGTAAGACTGACCGATCTGTAATTTCCAGGATTATCTCTCTCCCCTTTCTTGAACATGGGAATAACATTTGCCACCCTCCAATTTTCTGGTGCTACTCCAGTGGACAGTGAGGATGCAAAGATCATTGCCAAAGGGGCAGCAATCTCTTCCCTTGCTTCCCATAGAAACCTTGGGTATGTCTCATCTGGCCTCATGTTCAAATTTCTAGCACATCCTCCTTCCTAACATCAACTTGTTGGAGCATATCTGCCTGTTTCATGCTGTCCTCACAAATGTCAAGGTCCCTCTCACTGGTGAATACTGAAGCAAAGTATTTATTAAGAACCTTATCTGACTCCACGCACAAGTTCCCTCCACTATCCCTGATTGGCCCTACCCTCACTCTGGCCATCCTCTTGTTCTTCACATAAGCAGAGAATGCCTTGGTGTTTCCCTTGATCCTACCCGCCAAGGTTTTCCCATACCCACTTCTAGCTCTTCTAAGTCCATTCTTCAGTTCCTTCCTGGCTACCTTGTAGACCTCTAGAGCCCTGTCCAATCCTTGCTTCCTCACCCTTAAGTAAGCTTCCTTCTTTCTCTTGACTAGGTGTTCCACATTTCTAGTCATCCAAGGTTCTTTCACCTCACCATCTTTTCCTTGCCTCGGTGGGACAAACCTATCCAGTACTTGTAGCAACTGCTCCCTAAACAACCTTCACATTTGTGTCGTGCATTTCCCTGAGAACATCTGATCCCAGTTGGTGCTTCGTAGTTCTGGCCTAATAGCATTGTAATCCCCCCTCCCCCAATTAAATACTTTCCCATACTGTCTGCTCCTATCCCTCACATGACTACAGTAAAGGTCAGGGAGTTTTGATCACTATCACCTAACTGCTGTCCCACCTGGCCTGGTTCATTGCGAAGCACCAAATCCAATATGGCCTCCCCTGTAGTCGGCCTATCTACATATTGAGTCAGAAATCCTTCCTGGACCCACGTGACAAAATCTGCTGCGTCCAAACTATTTGCACTTGGGAGGTTCAGTCTATATTAGGCAAGTTGAAGTCACCCATGACAACAACCCTATTACTTCTGCACCTTTCCAAAATCTGTCTCCAAATCTGTTCCTCAGTGTCTCTGTTGCTATTGGGGGGTGGGGGGTGGGGGGCGTCTGTAGAAAACTCCCAATAAAGTGACTGCTCCTTTCCTGTTTCTGACTTCCACCCATACTGACTCAGTGGACAAACCCTCCTCCACAACCTCCCTTTCTGCAGCTGTGATACCATCCCTGATTAGCAGTGCCACTCCCCTACCTCTTTTACCTCCCTCCCTGTTTCTTTTGAAACATCTGTACCCCGGAACATCCAACAACCATTCTTACCCCTTTGTTATCCAAGTCTCCGTAATGGCCACATCATCGTAGTTCCACGAACTGATCCATGCTATAAGTTCGTCACCCTTATTCCAGACACTACTTGCATTGAAGTAGACACACCTCAAGTCGTCGCACTGACTGCCACTTTGCCCTATCAACTGCTTATCCTTCCTCACAGATTCTCTGCTTGCTCTATCTGCCTGTACACCAGCTACCCCATGTTCGGATTTGTAGCTCCGGCTCCCATCCCCCTGCCAACCTGGTTTAACCCACCCCCCCGCCCCCCCCCCCCCCTTCCCCCCCCAACCATCACCACCACCCCAACCACCACCACCACCCAATGGCTGTAACAAACCTCCTGCCCAGTATATTGGTGCCCCTCCAATTCAGGTGCAACCCATCCTTCCTGTACAGGCCCCACCTTCCCCAGAAGGTATGCCAATGATCCACAAACCTGAAGCCCTGTCTGCTGCACCAGCTCTTGTAGCCACATATTCAGCTGCACTCGCACACTGTTTCTGGCCTCACTCGCTCGTGGCACCGGTAGGAATCCTGAGAATACTACTCTGCTCGTCCTGGCTTTCAACTTCCATCCTAACTCCCTGTATTCACTTTTCAGGTCCTCATCCCGTTTCCTAACTATGTCATTGGTACTGATGTGTACCACGACTTGTGGCTGCTCTCCTTCCCCCTTAAGAATCCTGAAGACTCGATCCGAGACATCCCTGATCCTGGCACCCGGGAGGCAACATACCATCCGGGAGTCTCCCTCGGTACCACAGAATCTCCTGCCTGTTCCCCTAACTAGTGAATCTCTGATCACTCTTGCTGTCCTGTTCTCCCCCCACTTCCCTTCTGAGCCACAGAGCCAGGATCAGTGCCAGAGACTTGGCCTCTATGGCTTTCCCCTGGTAGGTCGTTCCCCCCCAACAGTATTCAAAGCGGGATACTTATTATTGAGGGGAACGGCCACAGGGGATCCCTGCACTGTCTGCCTGTTCCCTTTGCCCCTCCTGACAATCATGCAGCTACATTTTTCCTGTACCTTGGGTGTGACCACCTCCTTGTAACTCCTCTCTATCACCCCCTCAGCCTCCCGAATGATCCGGAGTTCATCCAGCTCCAGCTCCAGCTCCAGTTCCCTAACGCGGTCTGAGAGGAGCTGCACTTGGGTGCACTTCTCGCAGGTGAAGTCAGAAGGGACACCGGTAGTGACCCTTACCTCCCACATCCTACAAGAGGAGCATGCAACTGCCCTAGCTTCCATGCCGTCTACTTTAGATTGCCAAAAGAATAAAGAAAAAAAAGCCTTACCTTACCTTACCAACCCTCCATACAATCTTTTTTTTCAGTTAGAGGAGGAGGATGGGTGGGAGACACTACATGCCTAGTGTTTCGGGTTTAGCCAATGCCTGAATATAATAGTTCACTTCCCGGCTCGTGCTCTCACCACTCCCCGCTGTTCAAATCAAGAAGACCGCTGACTCACAAGGTAAGTTTTTATGAGGAAAACCTTGTCTTCCCGGCTGCCCCCTGATTCTCGGGGATTCTCTCGGGGATTCAAGGGATGTGGAAATGGGCATGAGTGTGGAGTTGAAGCCCAAAAGCAGCCATGACCATTTGAAATGGTAGAGCAGGCTCATACAGTCTTAGAGATCTACAGCACAGAAAAAGGCCATTCTGCCCATCATCTCCGTGTCAGTCAAAAACAACCACAATCCCATTTTCTAGCATTTGGCCGATAGTGTTGCATGCCTTGGCATCACAAGTGCACATCTAAATGCTACTGTAATGTGGTTTTCTGCTTCCACCACCCTTACAGGCAATGAGTTCCAGATTCCCTCACCCTTTGGATGAAGAAGACTTTCCTCTCATCTCTTCTAAACCTTCTACCCTTTACCTTAAATCTGCGCCCCTGGTCATTGATCCTTCCAAGAGGAAATGTTGCTGTTTGTCTGTCCTACCTATGCTCCTCATGATTTTATACATCTCAATCACGCCCCCTCTCAATCTCCTCTGCTGTAAGAAAAAACAGCCCCAGTTGGTCCAATCTCTCTTCATAGCTGAAAACCTCCAACCCTGGGGAACATCCTGGTAAATCTCCTGTGCACCCTCTCCTTTGCTGTCACATCTCTCCAAAACTATGCACTATACTTTAGCTGTGGCCTAAACAATGTTTTGGACAATTCCACCTCTCTACTCTTAAACCTTATGATTTGGCTAATAAAGGCAAGTATATAATATGCCTTCTTAACCACTTTATCCACCTGTTATGATGTGCTAAGGAGCATAGTTCATTCGTACCAAAGACCTTCTGATCCTCTGCTTCCCAGGGTCCTACTGTATTCCCTTGTCTTTCCTGCTCAAGTGCATTAACTCGCATTTAGCTCGATTGAATTCTATTTGCCACTCATCAGCCCATTATCTATGTACTTCTGTAATCTGACGCTATCCTCAATATTTACCATCCTACCAATTTTTGTATCATCTGCAAACCTAATAGTCATTCTTCCCATATTAAAGTCTAAATTATTTAAATATGCCACAAACAGCAGGAGACCAAACACTGACCACTGTGATACCCCACTGGACCTCAGTATGGAAAAACACGTCTCAACCATCGCCCTCTACTTCCTGCCACTCTGCTAATTGTGGATCAAATTGCCAAATTTCCTTGGATCCCATGGACTTTTACTTTGCTATCAGTTTTCCAAGCAGGGTCTTGGGCAAGGCTTTTGATAAGTCCAAGCAGACTACATTAAAAGCATTGTTCTCATCCACACATCTGCTCATCCCTTCAAAAAGTTCAATCAAGTTGGTCAAATATGACCTCCCATTAACAAAACCATGCTGGCTGTTCTTGATTAACCCTGCCTCTCCAAATACAGATTAATTCTGTTAATTCTGCCTCACTTGGCTATATGGTATATTGCTGTTCCTATTTCTTGTGTTCTTGTACACAAGCTAAGCACGGAAATTTAATATGTATGGAAATGTTTATATGGAGTAAATATTGGGAAAGAATGAAGAAGAAATGCCTTTTATTTCATAGAAGTTTCTCAACCACACTTTCCTGTTTTTCCCAATAATTCTTGCTGACCTGACAGATTAGAAATCTGTTTTCCTTGAATATTTTTAATGACCCAACCTTGACAGCCCTGTGCGGCAAAAAAATTCCAGATTCAATGCCCTTTGAAGGAATACCTCATCTGTTTTAAATGGGTGATCGCTCACTCTAAGATTATACCCTCTGATCCTAGACCGTCCCACAAGGTTAAACAGCTTCTCCACATCTACCTTGTCAGGCCTCCTAAGAAACTTCTATGTTTCAATAAGGTCCAAAGCTTCTGAAATATTTACTATCATATTCTACTTGCATGAGCAAGAGAATTTCAAATGGACTTTGTTGATGCTTTCAAATAGCTCACTTTCGCAGAACTCTTGTACTCATCTGGCGCAAATATGATTTTAGAGATGAGTTAATAGTATTAGTGCATAAATGGTGGTAGGATACTGTACTTGCTGATTGCGATTAATACACACTTACGAGGCTCCCATTTTCTCCAAGTGGAATTTATCTTAACTCTTGTTATTTTATAGTTGAGGTAATAGTTAAATGGTATGCACTGTTACGTGTTTGTCATTTGCATCCTTTGTGTTTTATGCCATGGGTTTTATGCCACTATTTACAGATAGCATTGAGATTGTTTTGTGGGCTCATCTGCATCGTGACTCATGTTGGAAATGATAATGGTGATGATTGATCGTTTAATTTTGGAAAACTTGCATAATTTCTCCTTTTATAAAAGCAAAATACTGCTGATGCTAAAGTAAAAACTGAAGATGCCGGAAATTTCAGCCAGCTGGGCAGCATCTGTCAAAGGAGAAGCAAAGTTAAAGTTTCAAGTTAATAAACTTTGATTTCTTTGATTCTTTGCCATCAGCAAGTTGGCTTCACAGAATACATTTGACTTTTTGTCCACTCTCTTCCTCTGACTCATATTGATTAACACCAACTAGAGTTTATGACAAATCACCATTAGACCTTCAATAAGACCTGTTGCGTATACGATTACCATTTACCAATTCAACAATCAATGCTCTGCATATGATAGACCTGGTAGTAAAATTAGATTTACTATCTTGAATGGAACAAGTTTGTTAAGTAGCTGATTTTAGATGCTAAAGAATTTTTATATTATACTCCAGGTTGTCACGTGAACTCTTAAGCTTATGCTTTCAATTCTGTTTGAAATTTGCAATTACAAAGGAAATATATCTGTTCTCTTACTGTGAAAGTGCATTTTATAACTATCTTCATACTGATAATAAAAATGAAAGATTAGGGAGTGATGTAGCCACTTTCATACATCATGCAGTTTACAATTTAGTTGAAATAATCTACTTTATCCTAAAGGAGTACATCTTGGTGTTAGTGGTATTAACAGTGAGTTGCTGACTCTTTCAGTATTGTCTTGTGCATCCCTCCCTTGGTTTTCTGCAATATTTGTATCACTGGTCTAGGCGGTGCACTCTGGAATTTTATCTCTAAGCCTTAATGCTTCTCCACTTCCTGCTCCTACTTCAGGTTCCTCCTGACAACAGAAACTTCATTGTACGCTGCTAACTTAATTGTTATTATTGCAGGTGCTGGGTTGGATTCGGAACGGAGAATCTATGCTAAACGCAGGTCTCATCACTGCTAGCTCACTTCAGGAAGCTGAACAACTACAGCGTGAGCATGAGCAATTCCAACATGCTATCGAGGTAAAACAGTTTCTAGCGATAATGTCCAGTTTCTGCACTGAAGAGCTTAAATGTATTTTAGAGCAACTCTGATACTTTTGTGGTCTAATATCATGTTTTCAGACATTTTTCACATATGATTAAAGATTATCTATTTCTCAGAGTGATAGCTCAGTCAAGCTAAAAGAGAATGGTTAAGTTCTTAAAGGTGACCTGTTACAATTAGCTGTCTTCATCTGAAGGTGCATGTGACATGAATCCCAAACATAATGCATGAGTTTGAATCTTAGAATCTTCTGTTCTCTTGGACTAGATCACTTTGTACCAATTGTCTAGGATTGTAATGTAGAAAAAAAGTTTCATATTATGGTTCTGGAGAAGGAAGACACTAAATAATCCACCCACATCAATCTCACTCCACCATATAAAACAGGACTTAATGTTTCTCAGCCCCATCACAAATACAGTTTACCACCAACACTACCTGTAGTTCAGCCATTCCAACCCCAAATTTTTATTTTTTTTTACCTTTAGTCTTGACAGCTGCATTGCACTCTCCACTAGTTTCTAATCTGCCTCCATCCAAAGACTGCAGCTTATCTAAACTTCCATGTATCTTACTTCGTGATTCTTCATTTGGCCCTTTTCTATAGAACATAGAATTGTACAGCACAGGAATGGGCCCTTGGCCCATGATGTTGTGCCAAACATGACGCCAAATTAAACTAATCCCTCCTGGCTGCCTTTGGTCCATATCCCTCCATTCCTTTCATATTAATGTGCTTATCTAAAAGTCTCTTAAATGCCCCCATTCTATCTGCCTCCACCACCACCCCAACAGTGCGTTCTAGACTCCTACCACTGTATAAAAAAAAATTTCCCCTTACGTCTCCTTTGAACATTCCACCTACATTTGAACTCTGGGGGAAAAACAATTCTGACCATCAACCCTATCAATGCATCTCATAATTTTATAGACTTCTTTCAAGTCTCCTCTCAGTTTCCCCCACTCCAGAGCAAACAACCCGTGTTTTTCGAGCTGCTTCTTATAGCTCATACCCTCTTATGCAGGGAGCAGCTGGTAAACCTCTTCTGCACCCTTTCCAAAGCCTCCACATCCTTCCTCTAATGTGGCAACCAGAATTGAACACAATACTCAAGTGTGGCCTAACCAAAGTCTTACAAAGCTGCACATCACTTCCTGACTCTTGTACTCAGTTCCCCAACCAGTAAAGACAAGCATACCATACGCCTTCTTTACAACCCTATCTACTTGCGTGGCCACTGTCAGGGAGCTATGGACTTGAGCCCCATGATCCCTCTGTACGTCAGTGCTGTTCAGGGTCTTCCCATTTACTGTATACTTTTTCTTAACAGTTGATGTCCCAAAGTGCAGCACCTCCCACTTACCTAGTTTAAACTCTATCTGCCATTTCTTCGCTCATATCTGCAACTGATCTACATCCCGCTGTATCCTTTGACAACTTTCTACACCATCCACAACTCCACTGATCTTTGTATAGTCTGCAAACTTACTAACACACCCATCTACCATTTTCATTCAAGTTGTTTATGTATACCACAAACAGCAGAGGTCCCAATACATGGACCTCCAACCTGAAAAGTGCCCTTTCACCATTACCATCTTGCCATCTATGGGCAAGCCAATTCTGAATCCACGTGGCCAAGTCACCATGGAACCCATGCATATTAATCTTCTGGATGAGCCTACCATGAGGGTCCTTGTCAAAAGCTTTATTAAAATCCATGTAAACAACATGCACTGTCCTACCCTCATTGATCACCTTTGAATTTTTTGAAGAGGTGACAATCAGTATAGTAAGATGTGACCTGCTCTACACAAAGCCGTGCTGATTGTCCCTAATTAGGCCATGCTTTTCCAAATGCGCGTAAACCCAAACTCTTAAGAATTCTTTCCAGTAGCTTTCCAACCACCGATGTGAGACTCACCATCCAGTTTCGTGGATTATCTCTATTTCCCTTTGTGAACAGAGGAACAACGTTAGCTACTCGCAAATCCTCCGGGACCTTTCCAGTCACTAGCGAGGATACAAAGAACTTGGTGAAGGCCCCAGCAATTTCCTCTCTTGCCTCTCTCAATAATCTGGGGTAGATACCATTGGGCCCACTGGGGACTTAGCTAGCTTAATGCTGTTCAAAAAGACCCAACACCACTACTTCCTTAATCTCAAAATACCCTCGCATTGTAGCATGCTCCATACAAATCTCACTGTCCTCCATTTCCTTCCCCTGGGTGCACATTGATGCAGAGTACTCATTTAGGATCTCACCCGCAACGCCTGCCTCCAAGCACAAGTTCCCTCCTTAATCCTTGAGTGTTCCTACCTTCTCCCTAGTTATCCTCTTGCTTTTAATGAAAAGATAGAATGCCTTGGGATTCTCTTTAACACTACTTGCCAAGGTCATTTCATGGCCCTTTCTTGCTCTCCTAATTCCCTGCTTGAGTTCTTTCCTACTTTCTTTATATTCCTCACGAGCCCTGTTTGATTTTAGCTTCCTAAACCTTACGTGTGCTTCCTTTTTTTCTTTTGACTAAGTTCACAACCTCCCTCAGCCACCGGGGTGCCTTACCTTGCCATCCTTGTCCTTCCTCCTTTCCGGAACATGCTGGTCCTGAACTCTCATCAGCAGGTCTTTAAACATCTCCCACATGTCAAATGTTGGCTTACCCGATAACAGCTCCTCCCAATTAAGACTCCCTAGTTCCTGCCCAATGCTGATGTAATTTGCCCTCCCCCAATTTAGTACCTTGCCACAAGGTTCTGACTTATCCCTTATTCATAGGTATCTTAAAACTTATGGAGTTGTAATCACTGTTTCCAAAATGCTGTCCCACGAAAGGTCTCTCCCCGAGTCGGACTCATTTGCCAATACGCTGTACAAGGTCCAGTGTGGCCCCTTCTCTAGTTGGACTATCCACTTACTGTTTCAAGAAACCTCCTTGGATGCACTTAACAAATTATGTCCTCTCTAAGTCTCTTGTTCTAAGGGAGTCTGAGTCAATATTGGGGATTTAAATTCACCCACTGTGACAACTCTTTTTATTGCATCTTTCCGTAATCTGCCTACATATTTGTTCCTCAGTGTCTTGGTGGCTGTTGGGAAGAACCTATAATAAAATCCTATCACAGTGATAGCACCTGTTTTATTTTTGAGCTCTACCCATATTGCCTCAGTGGATCAGCCCTCCAGTATATCCTCTCGTAGTGCAGAGATAACATTCTCCCTGATTAGTAATGGCATTCCTTCACCTCTTTTGCCTTCCTCTCTATCCCATCTAAAACAATGAAACCCTGGAACATTGAGTAGCCAGTCCCGTCCTTCTCTCTACCAAGTCTTCGTAATGGCCACAACGTCATAGTCCCATGTACCGATCCAGGCTCTAAGCTCATCTGCCTTACCTATAATACTCCTTGTATTGAAATAAATATATTTCAGTCCATTAGTACCATTGTGTTCATTTACCACTCTCTGCCTAACCTTTTTTTTCTGTTTTACTGGTCTTAACATCTATTTTCCCCTCAATCCCTCCACTTGCTGACGTTGTGCTCTGGTTCCCAGCCCCCGCCACTCTAGGTTAAACCCTCCTGAGTAGCACTAGCGATCCTCCCTGCAAGGATATTGGTTCCCCTCCAGTTCAGGTGCAACCCCGCCCCTCTTGTACTGGAGACCCCTGGCCTGAAAGAGGTCCCAATGATCCAAGAACCTGAAATGCTGTCCCCTGCTCTAGCTCCTTAGCCATGCATTCATCTGTCCTATCTTCCTATTCCATGCCTCACTAGCATGTGGCATTGACAGTAACCCAGAGACTATAACCCTCGAGATCCTGCCTTTCAGCCTCTTTCTTAACTCTGTGTACTCACTCCACAGAACCTCATCCCTCTTTCTACCTATGTTGTTGGTATCAATGTGCACAACAACCTCTGGCTGCTCCCCCTCCCCCTTAAATATTTTGTTCAACTGCTCAGAGACATCTTTGACCCTGGCGCCAGGGAGGCAACACACCATCCTGAAGTCTCGAATGTGACTACAGAAATGCCTATTTGTGCCCATAATTAGCGAATCTCCTACCACTATCGTTCGCTTGGATCTTGCCTGACCCTGCTGTGCAGCAGAAACCAATTGTGGTGCCATAGGTCTAGCTGCTGCTCTTATACTCCACTGAGACAGTATGCCCCTGCAAAAATATCCAAAATGGTTTACCTGTTAGAGAGGGCAATAGCCACAGGAGACTCCTGTACTAGCTGCTGCCTCTCCTGGTAGTCACCCATCTACTTTTGAACTTACGATGTGACCACCTCACTGTAACGAGTGTCTGTCAAACTCTGACCTGTTATGCTCATCAGTATATCCAACTGCTATTCGAACTGAAAGACACAGTCTGTGAGGAGCTGCAGCCAGTCACAGTTCCTGCAGGCATAGTCTTGAGGGACACTAGACTGCTTCCTGATCTCCCACATCTGGCAGGAGGAGCCCATCTCTACCCTTTTACACCAAGAAAGATAAAAGAATCTTAGCCCGCCTTTACCTTGCTGACCTTACTCACTGACAACTAGTATCATCTAAGCCTGCACTTATAACGACTGAGATACAGTAACTGGTTGCCTAAATTACAATGCAGTCTTTACAAACAGACTAAATACCCAGCAGGATACAACAGACCTCCTAACAGCCTGTCTCAATCTCTCTGTCTGCTCTTTGTATTTTTGATTAGAGGAGGAGGAGACAATGGAAACACTACAGTAATGCAATGTTTGGGGCTTACCGTTCTTGACGCTGAGTTCTTCCTCACTCTGCTGATCAGATGTGGTGACTGAACTAACTTCTCCCAGAATGCTCGTCAGCCAAGTCTCTCCACTGTCCTCTATTGGATTTTTTTCATTCACTTAAGTTAGCCTCCAGCTCACCAACATCTCGAATTTGAATTTTTGTTCTTGCTACAAATGACATATCCTCTTTGTACCTCTATAACTTTCCAAACCCTCAAATTCTGTTGTTCAACGTCTTGGAGATTCCTTTTCCCTATGTCTC